CTCTCAAGGGGCCACGGCCCAATTATCATGCTTTCCTCTTGTGCTTTCAACATTTGTTCGACAACCTATGAAGCGGTAAATTCTCCCACCAACATGTATCTATTCTTCCAACATTCATGGCATCTGCTTCCTAATGTATTGTCGTGTATTTTTGTGTTGATTTATCGTATTCAGTCACTGTCCATGGGAGGGGGTCGTCGTATTGTTGGGATGGGGAGGTTGTAATGGTCCTTGTCACCTAGTCATTCGCATCCGGGCACATTTCAATAGAGTGTTTTTCCGGTTATTATCAGACTAAAACGAACGAACATTCTAAACGACTTTCTTTCAACCTAGGGTTTTACAACAACAGATCCAATAATTGTTCAAACCTAATTTACGAGAATACTTTTTTTGCTTTGTGGCTAAAATGTATAACTTTTAAATAAAACTGTCAACAAACTAGCCTTAAATCTAAATATTTTATTTGCAACGTCTCTAGTGGGTTGGAATCTCGTATGGTTTATTTATACGTCAATCAATATCGTTAAATTTTCTAATATGATAGTCCTCAAAACTTGAATCAAAGAGATCCAAAACATATCGGTATATATCTAACGGAGATTATGATGGATACGTTATTTGCTGTGGTTTCTGAGATATTTTCTTCGTAAATTTTCTAAGTTCTAAAAAAAATCCTGAATAGAACTTGTTAGTATGGGGGTAAAAGGAGAGTGCAAAAGTAATCCTTGGAGGAATAGCTTGGGATTATCGTGAAGCGAAAATGCTTAGCATTGACTTGCAGATTGATGAGGTTTTCTTGTAGGTGTGAGGGATTTTTAAAATGAACAGCAAAGAAGTGCAACATTCTGAGAATATAAAGATTTTCTTTTATGCTTTCTTTTAGGGTTGTTTTACCTTCATGTTTGGAGGACGGGAGCAAGATGTGAGGCTGCGAGAGTCAAATGGAAGTGAACCGTTAACATATGTATCACTTGCAAAATTTCGGGGTTGAACCTTTTAGGTTAATTGTCTCATTCCATAAATCTCGGTTGGAAGAAGGTGGTGTGGTGCGGAGGTTGCAAGTGGTAGGTGGCGGTGTGGGCTCTCATCGTCGTTGGGCGTGGTCTTCTTCTACTTGAACGAAGGGTGTGGTGTGGAATGTATGTGGACGAATCCTAAACCCGAGAAATTTCTTTCTTCTCTCCGAGGGGGGAGGGGGGGGGGGGAGGGGGGGGGGGGGGAGGGGGGGGGGGGGGGGGGGGGGGGGGGGGGGGGGGGGGGGGGGGAAGGGGTGGGGAAAAAAGGATGGAAGGGGGGAAAGGGAGCAGGAAGTGGAAGAATGGGGGAAGAACAAGAGGGGGGGAGGGAGGGGGGAGAAGAGGGGGAAAGGAGGAGGGAAGAGGAGGTGAAGTCTTTACGCCTTTTTCTACATTCGTCCCATCTATTCGAGAGAGCAGGATTAAGGCTTCCTGTAAATTGATTGGTCAACTTTGCCAAGTTTGCGGCTGTTCTGTACTTGAATTCTACTGCTTTTTGGAACGGTTTATTTTGTAATTCAGATTAAAGATAATGAATTCACCCACGTTTGTGTCAAAACGGGCACGTGCAATGGGCTGCGCGAAGGTGACCATGGGCGGGTAACATAGTCTACTTAATTGACGAAAATATCCTAGTGTTGATTTAATGGACACAAATAAACGATCGAAGTTGAAACGCCAAAACAATCTGGACCAAATATAAGAAATTTTTCACAGGGCCATAACACGTAATGTAACATATTTAATACATGAACCAATCAGAGATTTATTCTTTAGTTTTAATATAAAAGGAAAATTAAAAAAATGTACGTTTCAATTCATAAAATGTTGGGGTTAGATTCCAGTCTTAATTGTTGTTACCCTCTGTGTCCAGTGCATTGGGTGTGTATAACACTTGGGGGGAGGATAATTTTTTTTTGTTTTCTGTCTGCGGTATGTATTGTGATAAACGTCAAATGGAAGATCGTGGTAGCTTTTATACTCTTCCCCTTTAAAGAATGGTTTTGTTTTTATTTAGATAAGTTTTTCTTAGTAAAAATGATAAGAGTATCAAGATGGTAATAATGAAGACAATTGTTTTTCTTCAATATTTTCAGGAATTAATTAATAGTAACGTAAGAATAATGGTAGTTTAATAGTACTGTATGGTAAGAAAGTATATTCATTTTTATTATTATAGATGTTAAGAAAAAAAAGTATTTTTTTTTCATGTATGTTTCATTTCTAAGAGAGTTATATAATTTTACATTTTTACACTTTTTATTCACGGGTTGAGTAAATTACATCTGACATAATTTATTTTTAGCCTCTATTATAACTTCCATTCTTTATTAGGAAACTAAAACTATAAAAACAAATAGCTCTTATAATCCTTTTGAACTGATGTGACAAAAGTTCAAAACCATTTTTAACACTAAATTTTTGGAAATAAATTTAATAAAAAGAAATGAATACAATGAACTATATATATATCTTTGAAAAGTAATTTATAGTGGAAAATGTACTATTCTTCCGTACTTAGATTCTTATAACATATTGGCCATCCACCCACTTTTCAACTTATTCACTAATTATTTGAGTTTGAATTTTTATTATGTGCATTAACAAAGCTTAATCATCATAATAATAATTAAGCTTCCAATCCATTATTCTCCATTGGATGGTTGGTTAAACTTTCGTGGATATAATCATGTTTCCACTTTCTTAGCACATCTTATTTGTTAAACAAAATAATGAAATTATCTTTATATATATAGTATAACATGATTCACATGTAGTGGTTAGATTACACCAAAATATAAGGTAAAGTAACGAAATATTTTAAAGTTATTCTTGAAGTAATCTTAGCAGACCGTATATGAAAGAATTATTCTTTTACCTAACATTAAGTTTCATGTTTTATTGAAATATATCTTTTTTTTTCATGTCATTTTACTTTTTGAAATACTTTATAAATTATTGAAAAAAATTATAAGATAAATTTTAAAAATACTTAATTAAGAAAAATGGTTCTATAAGTATTCATAAAACAGCGTACTAAATTATAAGTAATAACAAAGGGATCATTGATCATCCATGAAATCAAATGAATGTATTTAATCAACTCATTCTTTTATTTTATTTTAAAATGAATAGATTGAATAGATTTACTTACAGGTAGATTATATGGATGATAAATAAATAAATTATTTTTTCTACTTTTTGTTTATAACACTTGAGCAGAAACTAACTCATGATATTATCATTTTAACTAAATTATATTAACAAATGTTTATGAGTATTATACAAACACTTCCAAATATAATGATTGTACCTTTTTTATCAATTGAACTTGCTATTGCCGACTAAATCTTTGATATATCAATGTGATTGCCCACGTGGCAAAATATTGAAGTACAGGAAAAGAATTCCAAATAAAAAACATTTTAATTATATTTTGTTAATTCTATTGAGAAAAGGACATTAATACGATATTAGAGTGGAAAGTGCACTATGCTAGGGTATTTAGTTTCTTAAAACGTGGTCATGCTCCCACTTTCAGACTCAATCACCAATTATTTTAATTTGACTTTTCATAATGTGCATTAACTAGGCTTAATATAAAAATTATCATGCTCCAAATCTTCATATGATTTCCACATATTTGGATTGGCTGCCTCAATTTTCGTAGCTATACTCATACTTCCAACTTTCCTCACCACATAAACTTCAGCATAAAATGGTTTCTGATCTGNTAGTCGAAGAGAAATTGAAACAGAGGTTTGCTCTGGTCGAAGAGAAAGAAGGGCTCTGGTGGAAGAGAAAACTCTAAGAAAGGAGGGGCTCTGGTGGAAGAGAAAACTCTAAGAAAGGAGGGGCTCGGTGGAAGACAAAGAGCTGTAAATCATTTTGAAAAAAATAAAGCAAAGGATATTACCTCGGTTTCACAAGAACCCGAAGCCGTATGCGAGCTACTAAAGCGGTTCTACTCAAACCCGATGCCTAAACATCTTTAAAAAAATTCAATATAATTCTATATGCTTCGGTTTGCTTCAAAACCGAGGTCGTAGCGTATTTCAGTACCGGTTCTGGATAAATCGAGGTAGTCCATGCTGCAGCGCACACATTTTCAGAAGAAAATCAAAGACTTTAAACATCGGTTCTGCAAAGAACCGAGGCGGTATCCCCTTGGTCAGTCTGACTTGTAAAAAGCATCAAAGAGAGTAGGTGAGTTGCAGAGAGTTTTATGCCTCAGGTTCTTTCATAACCGAAGCAGTATCACCTATAGGCATCGGTTTGTTCATAACCGAAGTATATAAGTTTCCGTTAATTACAAAAACGCCACCGCGTTTCAATATGTTTTGGGTTTTTCAAAACCGAAGCATATTAGACGCGTTCTAAAGGTATTTTTTTACTAGTGAGCAACGTTGTGCAGAGGAACACAAAAGAAGTAGTGGGCGATGAAGTGATTTTACATTTTTCTTTTTGTAAAATTTTCATTAAGGGCAATGAGTTCATTTCAATGCGCCTATGGTAATGTTGGAAGAAAACATGGGGTGCAGGAGGAAATGCCCTGACATAGAGAGTGACCAAGTGTGGATTAACGTGTTCTTACTGTAAAGAAAACATAAAAGATTTAAACCCAATATTTATAAAATCTTTACATTAGAGAAAAAAAATTAAAAAGTAATATTGCAATACAGTAAAATAAAAAAAAAAAAACGTTATAAGTTAGTGTGATTACATTATTGTTGCGGTAGGTGGGACTTTATATTGCCTATTTATTTCATCACCCATCTGATTGGTTGAACACACTGTGCAGTGCTATTACCCTTTTTTAGTTGGGGTACCTTATTTATTCACGAATAAGGATAATAATATATACACATAACTCAATCATGATCACCTTATTTATTAATGAATGGTGATGATGCGATGCAACAACAGTTTTTCTTTAATGTAAAAGTAATAAATATAGTTTCAAAATCATGATATAATAACAAGAGACAGTGGTAATAAATAAACAAAAAGAAGAAAAAAAGTGGTTTCTTTGTTGTGGTATTTATCTACATTAACGTAAAAAATGTTACAACAATCTGCCGGAGGGGAACGACAGAAGGTGACGGTTATTGAGAACCCGACCCGAAAACCGATCGGACTCACTGACCCTTAGTTTTGGGGTGTCTCTCCGCAACTTACTCTCTTCTCTGTAGACCTGAATCTCAGCCATGTCCTTCACTAGGGTCACCATATCCCACAATTTCAATTCTCTTGCCTCATCCATCGTAGCCAACACCTTTTCTTCGCATTGTTCCAACCTCTTCAAACAGCAAACTAACTCAACCGCTTCCCCAAACTTAAACCCCCCGAACCTCTCCTTAAACTCGTTCAACCTCACGCGCACCTCAGCCTGCACCACGCCCCAATCCCCACGCGCCAGCTTCACAATCTCCTCCACCAAGAGGTTTCCGTTGGGCTCGGGCCTCTTGCAAAGCCCTTCGACCAGAGCCACCAGAGAGTCAAACTCGCTCAACAAGTCGGCGTTGGAGAGACCCGACGCTCTGTCTTCTCTGCTCTCTTTGTCGCTGGCGGTTCCGAGGAAGAATCCCAGGACGCGGGAGGCGCAGAGAAGCTGCTCGATGTGCTGTGCGAACCACCGGACCCAGGAGGAGAGCTGCCACGTGGTGGGGTCGGTCGTGTGTCGGAAGTGGGAGAGGTTGAGGTAGTTTCTGCCGCCGGAGTTGGGGTAGACCGAGAGCTGATCCTGGAGGATGAAGCTGCCGTGTCGGATGATGTAGTGGACGGCGATCAGGCACTTGAGTGCCACGGCGGCGTTGTTCGTTCCCTGCAGCCGGTCCATCAGAACCTCCACCGCGGCAGAGGCTGTGGCGCGTGGCCCGTCTCCCGATGAGAGGAGCATGGCCAGATGCTTAGTCGTCGGTGGTGTGGAACAGTCGTGGCTGGTGGCGCGTAGCAAGGAGAGCGTGGAGCGTTTGGAGAGTAGCGCCGCCTTGCTCTGCGACGCTTTGTCCTTGATTATCCCAATCAGGTGCGTGAGTTTTGTCATATTTTATTTTCGCGAAAACACTTGCACAAACAAAAACACAGTCACTGCCAACGCATGGTGTCTGAAAATCTGGATAATAGAAATTGGGAAGGGAGTGTTTGGCTTTGGCCTGGGAGTGGGGCATAATAAGATATTATGATAATGGAATCACGTTGCTGTCTCTGCCATAATGGTGAGTTAGATATTTTTTAAAAACTTGTATGCCTTGTTCACGTTTGGGCATGTTCACATCGATGGTTGATGACTCTGGAACGATGCTGATAACACTTACGTGTGGTATTTTAAGAATGTCTTAAATTAATACCGTATGATGCATTCAACGTGTGTGAAATAGTTAATCAATTTAGAGAAGCGGAACTTAGATAATTCTATGCATATTTTAAATTCAAACTTCATGTAAGTAATATAT